CAAATCATACACCTTTTTTCATCACAATGATTACAATCCCCTCTATGTACCATCAGGTAACAGTATTTCTCTCTGTTCACTTTAGCTCTATTTTTTAAAAAACAACAACAACATAATTTCCCCCACCAAAGGGCACATTCTGCAAGTCTGCCTCCTGGCCGCTATCTCTTAGTCCCTCTGTTCCCATGAATCTATAGTACTCAGCTGCTCCCTTTCTCCATGTCCCCATCTCTGCCATTGCTGCTTCTATGGATAAGGTCTCACATTCTGCTTGTGCTCTTCTCCCTTGATGATCTTAGGGTCCTTTGTTTCTGGACTGTAAGGTTAATTACTCCCCCATTTTCGTTACAAAACTTCCACCTTTACAATTGTGACTGTCGCAATTAGTCATGATAAGGATTCTTTTCTTGTCTTCATTTTGAAAAGTTGATTATTTCTTGGTGATTTTCTTTTGAGGTCTGCCCTGTTTGGAGTTTAACTATTAAATGGCTGTCTTTTGGTCTTTCATGTTAGGGAACTTTTCTTCCAACAATTCTTGGACAATATTCTCTCTATTTTTTTTGTCTCTTCTGTTCCAGAATTCCAATCTACACATAATTTATTTGTCTATACATCATTCCAATCTACACATAAGATGGTGTTCTGTGTGCATTTTAGGTTTTCTTTGGATTTTTTTTTTCCTGATCCTCTAGCAGATGAATAGTAAGAGATTTTTCTTTAAGCTTAGTAATGTACCTTTCCATTGATTCAGTTTTTTTTTTACTCTTGAATTTATTATTGATTTCTGAAGTCCTAGTGTTAGTCTTTTGGTTTTTTATTTGCTGTTTTGGTATGGCTTCCATTTATTTAAAATGTCAGTTTGTTTCCTGAGTTTTCCTATAGTTTTGTCTTTTTTCTTTGATTTCATCTGCAGTTTTCTCGATCATTGTCTCAATCCGTTGTTGTTGTTGTTAGGTGCCATCAAGTTGATACCGATTCATAGCGACCTTATGCACAGTAGAATGAAACACTGCCTGATCCTGGGCCAACCTCACAATTGTTGCCATGCTTGAGCCCATTGATACTGCCAGTTTGCTAATCCATCTCGCTGGAGGTCTTCCTCTTGTTCTCTGACCCTCCACCCTACTAAACATGATATTCTTATCCAGTGACTGGCCCCTCCTGACTGTATCTCTGAAATACGAGAGACGAAGTTTGGCCATCCTGGCCTCCAAGGAGCACTCTGGCTGCACTTCTTCCAACACAGATCTGTTGGTTATTTTAGCAGCCAATGGTACTTTCAATATTCTCCTCCAACACCATGACTCAAAAGCATCAATTCTTCTGCGGTATTCCTTATTCACTGTCCAGCTTTCGCATGCATATAAGATTATTGAAAATACTGTGGTTTGGGTCAGGCGCACCTTAGTCTTCAAGCTGACATCTTTGCTTTTCCACACTTTATAAAGGTCTTGTACTAAGACTCAATGGAAATGCACGCTCTAATTGGTCACCACACACATTGCCGATGGGGGGAAGTGGGGTAAACGCAGCAATGAAGCGGCAAGCTAAGCCCTACAATGATCAGTGGATTTCTGTGGACCCAGTTGGGGACCTGGTTGACAAGCAGTGTGAAGAGGCCTGGGGACTCTTGGGCCCAGAGTCAGTGGTGTGGCCATGGAGGACTCGAGAGGAGAGTGGAGCTACCGGCTGACAGGAAGAGAGGACATATGTACAGGAGCTCCCACACTTGCAGATGATACCCACGTGACCTGGACCAGATGACTGAATGATCAGAGCTCAACCAGGAGAAGAAAGAAGAGGGGGGGAAAAAAAAAAAAAAAGAGTGAGCTGATAACACTCTGATGAACTTGACCTATACCTATGGAGCAGCAACTCAAAAGAGGGAACAAATCCTCACAACAAGAAACATTCACACACACCCACACACACAAAGTGGACGGAAAAGGGCAGCTTGGACATTGGATACTCAGATGGGGAGGGGGGACTACAAAGGCAAAAAGTGACTGGCTTACAAGCTTTCAAGAGGGAACCTGGTGCTAGGGAGCATGGCGGAAGGCAGAATCTCCAGTAGGTACTATTCAGTCTGTCTGGGCGGAGCTGATGAAAGGAGATACAGATGGGTAACTCGTGATACTGTAGTGAATAATGTTTATCAGGATGGATTATGAGGGTTGGAAATGCAAAGGTGGAAGTTTTGTAACAAGGAAGGGAGTAATTAATTCACCAGGATAGATGAGGAGGCCTCCGAGACCATCAACGGAGAAGAGCCGAGAGCGGGACCCTACCCAGAGAAACAGAGATCCCTGAGATGGAGACAGAGATGATGACGTGGAGTGATGAAGCGACTGGGGACTTTGGACCCAGAGAGGGAAAGGGACTGTGGGCCAAAAACTGGGGGGAGGAGGGGGAAGTGTAGGGGGCAGGTTTCTGGGATATACCCTTTGGGTGGTTGATGATGCATGGAGGGGATTGGAACTATGGCAATGAGATGATATACGATGGAATGAATGTAAAGCTAAAGTTCTCCCATATAAACTATCATATAATTCACAATAAAACATTAAAAAAAAAAAAAGGTCTTGTGCAATGGATTTGCCTAATGCAATACGTCGTTTGATTTCTTGACTGCTGCTTCCATGAGTGTTGATAGCTGATCCAAGAAGAATGAAGTCCTTGAAAATTTCAGTCTTTTCTCGGTTGATAAGTATTTTGTTTATTGGTCCAGTGGTGAGGATTTTTGTTTTCTTTACTTTGAGATGCAATCCATAACAAAGGCTGTGCTCTTTGATCTTCATCAGTAAATATTTTTAAGTCTTCTTCGCTTTCTGCAAGCAAGATTGTATCATCTGCATATCGTAGGTTGTTAATGGGTTTTCCTCCATTCCTGATGCCACGTTTTTCTTCATATAGCCCAGCTTCTCGGATTACTTGCTTAGCATACAGGTTGAATAAGTATGTTGAAAGAATACAACCCTTCAATCCATTGAAGGTGCCTAAATAGCAGGCTTTTGAATTCCTTATCAGGTATTTCCAGTACCATTCCAGGCATCATATTTTCTGACTCTTGTATTTTGATCACTTGCTTGAGGCACTCTGTCTTGTTTCTTTATGTCAGCTGAAATTGTTTGTTTTCTCTGGGACGTTGTTGTTATTAATTGCTGTCGAGTGGGTTCAGACCCATAGCGACCCTGTATAGGGTTTCCAAGGAGTGACTCGTGAGTTTGAAACACTGACATTTGTAGTTGAGCACTTATCTGACAGTGCCACATCATGACCTGGAACCCCACTCCTTACAGAGCCAAGGCTGTGAGGCCAGGGTGTCACTGACAGCTGGGTTGTCAAACGTGGGGACTGTTCACACTCTCCCCCTGCCAGGAGAGCATGGGAACAAGGGAGATATGCATCCTCTTGCTTCCAGCCTCCAGCTGTGTCCTCTGTATTGCGAGCCATTCTAATCCAGCCTATAGTTCATCCATTTTTCTTCTCTCTCTCTGCTTCTGTTGAGCTTCCTCTTCCAGTCTGCACTCACTTCATCTCTGTTCTATCTGCTGAAGCTCAGGCTTCCAGGATCACCATCTGTGTCTGTTCCACTTGGTCTCCCATGTCTTTGTTGTAGAGGGTGTGCTCACTGTGTCTATGTACTCTGCCATCTTGCCCCAGAAAGCCTCCAATTTCTTTTTTGGAAGTACTCTTAACTCCCCCGAGTACATTCACTTTGACTTGGTATTTACAGTTCATCAGTGTGCCTCCTAGGTTAAAGGGGCCAATGGAAATAAAGAAGACTAGACTTCAGATTATACAGCTAGCCCTCATAGAACTGAAAGTCAGGCCCAGCGAGGCCTCAGGGAAACTAGTGTAGTTGGTGAAAAGAAAGGCTACTCAGAATCACACACTGGTATTTCAGCAGACAGGATGTCTGTGTGCGCTCAGCTGCTTCCCATTCAGTGCCCCTCTTCACCTTGGTCACCTGCCTCTTGGTTTCAGGTTCTGATTCTGGTACTATAGACCTTGACCCTGCTCTCTGTTCTTTGGACTCACATTCTGGGTTGAGTCTTGTCCTACCCAATCATTGGCTAGAGCTTTTGCCTGACCTCCTTATTGGTTGCAGGTCTGGTGGCAAGGTGCCATTGTATAGACTGTGGGTACTTGTTTGGGAGGAACTACTCAGAGAGCCACTTCTGTCAACAGTTGGAGTGTCAGAGAAATCTCTGACTGACGACCTACATAGTCATACAGCGAAGGCATCGTGCTGGCTTCTGCAGGGCCTGCATGGATGGAGAGACACCATCCCTGCTGCTTGTGAGTGGCCTCAGAGCTGCTGGGAAGGTTATATTAAAGATTGAGCTGTGGCTCTCTGAGTTCCTGTAAGTAAAAGTTCCCTCTCTAAATTGCTCTTTTCTGTGATCAAATATATGCTCTCCTCATCAGAGCTATGCATCAATGTGATTTAACCAGTATTTCACTGGAATTGCACCTGTTGTCCTTATTTTCAGCTAAGTGAAATACAGGTGATAGGTATAAGATAGCACCATAGGTCTACATGATGCAGATGTGTACTTAGTGCAGTTTTGATATCTGATCTTGATTATTCTTAAATCTATAGTAAAGAATCTGTCGTTGCAACATGAGTATACAAAATTATAGCATGATAATAGGTATCCAGTTTTGTTGCCTTTGCAATCCATTTTTCTTGTTGTTACGTGACATTGAGTTGGTTCTGACTCATAGCGACCCTGTATTAGGTTTCTGGGGAGTGGCTGATGGGTTTGAACCACCGAGCTTGTGGTTACCAGTTCAGTGCTTAGCCTATAGCGCCACACCAGGACTCCTTGCAACCCATAATCTGTGTTAATATGGAAGCCCCGCTCCTACTCTTGCTTTGTCAGTTTTGTATTTTCTTTATTTCCATGAATTTCGATGGAATTTTGTTTAAAAACAAAACAAAACAAAAAAGGAATGAAGAATTTATTAAAAAATTTTTTTTTTTTTAATTTTAGAAATTTCGGGATTTCTTTAATCAGAATGAAACCAGTGATCCATCCAGGGACACATGTGTGATCCTGACAGTGGAAGGGAGAACATTCCCAGTAGATGTCTTTTACCTGCAAAGGTATGATGATACTTGAGTTCTTAGTGATAATGCTTAGTAATAGGCCTCTCATCCGGAATGATGAGGAACTCTTGTCTGCTCACAGCCCCATGGAGGCCCTGCCAGACTCATGACGAGTGGCATGCTTTGTGTCTCCGTTATCAACACGGTGTTCTGGGACCCTCCTCAGCGTAATAAGTTTCCGTGAATCAGTTGTCAGTAGCTCAGATGGAGAGAACATAGTGGTAAAGCTCGATAGTTTTCAGAACCAGGGTCAAATTGGTGATTTGAATTATTTGGATCTTAGCTGTCTACAGCCTTAACAAGATGACCTGGTCAGCTCTCTTAGGGAGAAGCCCCCTTGGACAGGAAGGAGAGCCAAACTCAGACTAGTTGCTGTTAGTCTGTTCTAATTTATGGCAACACTATGTGTGTCAGAGTAAAACTGTATGCCACAGGGTTTTGTGACCTTTTGGACACAGTTCACCAGGTCTTTTTTCTAAGGCGGCTCTAGGTGGATTTGAACTGCTAACCTTTTGGTTTTCAGTCCATTGCTTAACCATTATTTCACCCAGAGACTCCCATTTGGCCAGGAAAGGGGCCATTCTAATTCCTAAGCCAGACCTACTCACTGGGCAGTCAGTGACCAGGAGCCGTGTTCAGTGGTTGATAAATCAAGAGATTAGTGGGCTTCACTTCTGAATCATTGTAACTGGAGCTCCATCAACTCCATCCATGATGCCACTGGTTAGGAGGGGAGCCCAAGAGAGTGTGGGTTTCAGTACTGGACCGCAGCCCTGGTGTTCACTTGCCAAGAATCTGTACATACTAAAGATAATGTGTCTGTTTGCATGGGTATATACATTGATTTCTTTGCAAATGAGACTAAAAATCATAGTTGACATGTAATTATGGATTAGTTTTGAATGCTGCACTTAAGAGAAAAAAGAGTGGATATATATTTCATTCATCCATATACTAATTAGCTGCTGGGCATGCCCAAACTAACTTTCATGATGTTGTGTTGCCAGATTATTAGGCTAATTGATCTATAACAAGCATGTCATAGTGATGAATTTATCCCATACATCTTTTCAGTCCTGTTCCAGATTATATCAAATCAACAGTGGAAACTGTGGTGAAAATTCACCAGACAGAGGGCGATGGAGACATATTAGCATTTCTTACTGGCCAGGTAATGCCATTGGACCTTATCTCTGGGATGAGCAGACACGCTGCGGCAGTGCCAAGAGTTATTCAGAAGGCTGCTGCTTTGTTTACCCATGTATTTCATGCCTTGTGATATTCTGTGGTGATGACATAATTCCCTGAGCACTTTTGGATCGATGTTGTTTATCTACTGATTAGGTTGTTGGGGAGTCATTCTCTCCTGCCTGTTCTGTCTGCCAAAGGTTTGTTGTATTTTAAATTTAATAGCGAACTCCAAGATAAATTAGGTGGTTCAGCCAACAGATGGTTTTGTTGGTGGAGCTGCTTTTTGCATTCAGCACATGTTGCTGCTTGTGTGGCTGCTGCATGCCTCCTTTCCCAGGGCTGCGCTCATCCAGGAGCTGGGAAGTGGCCACCTATGGAAAACATCTGAACTGCTCTGTCCAGGTGCTCACTCCGGGTGGCAGCAATGTGTGGAGCCATCCTCTGCTGTCATCTTTTCCACTGTCACACATTTTCCACAGTTCAGTCATCATTTCTGGGAAAAGTTTAATGTTTATGCCACAACTTGTACACACACACGAAATGCTTTGTTTGCACTTAGTAGCTGTGTAAAATTGTCACTTTTTGTCTGTCAGGGACTCTTCGATACACTGCGCTTCATATAAATTTTACTCATTCCTATTGTGAATGGTCACCTCATGACACCCTTATTCCATGGTATTTGATTATCTGCCTCCCCGGAGTGGACTTTGCTGGTACTGAAATGTATGAATCTGACCAAAGAAAAGTCTTTTGGTTTGATAAAATGGTGTGGTTTGAATTGATCTCTGTTTCTTTGGTTCCTGGTTCTATGGTTTTAGGAAGAGGTAGAAACTGTGGTATCTATGCTAATTGAGCAGGCCCGGGCGCTGGCTCGCACTGGGATGAAGAAACACCTCCGGGTCCTTCCCATGTACGCAAGACTGCCTTCCTTTGAGCAAATGAAAGTGTTTGAACGAGTGGCACGCAGCGTCAGGAAGGTGAGACTATCCCTAATGACCAGGAGTCCTGGTGTGACATTGTAGGATAGGCACTGGGCAAGGTTGAAGGTTCAGACCCACCAGTTGCCCCTTGGAAACCCTGTACTGGGCTGCCATGAATTGAAACTGACTCGATGGCGTTTTACAATATCATCATATTGGGTTCCTGTAGGGTAGGAACTGGACTGTTAACTGCACGGTCGGTGGTTCAAACCCACCAGTTCCTCAGAAACCCTCTACAGTGTTGCTGTGAGTCAGAACCAACTAGACAGCACTAAACAGCAACAACATCATATTGGTGTCCCTTTACTACATAGAGGGAAGCTTTTTTCTTCTTATTATTATTATTGTTGAAATTGTACATAGCAGAATATAAAGTAATTCAATTTCTACATGTACAATTCAGTGACATAATTAAATTCTTCTAGTTGTTCAGCCATTCTTATCCTCTTTTCCCAAATTGTTCCTCCCCTAGTAGCATAAATTCATCTTCCTGTCTTAATCTATAGAATTGCTCTTGTCAATTTAATCCCTTACAGATCATTGTTTAAAAGAGCACAATGCTCAAGGCAAATAATCTTTACAAGTTAAATTAGACTTTTGTTTGGGTTAAAGATTTCCAGGGATATTTTTGATAAAAGGTCTAAAGGTGATCTCAGGGTAGTAGTTTCAGAGGCTTTTTTGCAGCTCTATCGATCCAGAAAGTCTGGAATCCATGAAAATAATAAAATTCTGTTCTGCAGTCTCCCCTCTGCTTTGTCCAGGATTCTTCTGTAGAATCTTAGATTAAAGTGTTTAGTAATGATAGCTGAGCACCATCCAGTTCTTTAAAAATGAAAATAAATGGGAAGGTTTCTTCTTAAAGAATCTTTGGTCCGTACTTCTGTGAAGCAGATCTTAAAGGTGTACAGTGAAAAATGCATTACAAATATGTATAAACCTGCACCACATAAGGGCCACCCTGACAGTAATTACCAGAGCAGGTTACTGGTGTTTCTTTTTGGTTGTCTAATTTGTTCCTTTGACACAAAGCTACCTTGGAACAACGTAACATATGCAAAATATTTGCTATGTGCCAAGCATTAGGCATTATGTATATTTCTTATTTAATCCCTTCAGCAACCTGGGGGGTGAATATTTTATAGATGCGGAAATTGATGCTCAGGAGGTGAAGTAACTTGTCCGAGATCACATGGTTAGGGAGAATTCAAGCCCAGGCACTGGTAATTCTAAAACTCTTAAGCTCTTTGCAGTATAGCCTTTCATAGTTTCTACAATGTCAGAAACACCTTTAAGTCTTTTGGGATTTGTAATGGTTTACTAAAAGCGAAAAGAATTAAGTAACTATTATATACTTATTCCTGTTTGGTCTTGGAATGTAGGTGATAGTGGCTACCAATGTGGCAGAAACTTCCATTACAATTAGCGGGATTGTGTATGTGATTGACTGTGGCTTCGTGAAACTCCGTGCCTACAATCCCAGGACAGCTATCGAATGCTTGGTGGTAGTCCCGGTGTCCCAGGCCTCCGCAAACCAGCGAGCAGGACGTGGTGGTCGGAACCGCTCAGGAAAATGTTACCGACTCTATACAGGTTAGTGTGTGGCTTTCTCATAGTTAGCCTGGGTGTTGGAGAGTATACAAATGTTGAGCCTTAATGTGACAAACTTAATCTAAAATCCAGACCCCCCCTTTCCTTATGAGGTCCTATTCGGTCTGGCCCCCATTGCCTTCCTCACTCTAAACATAGTACATCTTTGCCCTGCTCCTCATTGGACAGTGTTCGTTCACGAGTCACTGCCTATTTGCTCTTCCCACCTCATGACATCCTGTCTTGTGACCTTGTAGTGTGGACCAGGGATCACAGGTTTTGTTTTTCTTACCTTTTGTTTAGCTTAATATGCTTGTTGTTGTTATCATTAATTCCATTGGTTCCAACTCATAGCGACCCTATATCAGGTTTCTAAGGAGCGGCTGGTGAACTTGAACTGCTGACTTTGCAGTTCAAACTGACCTTGCAGTCCAGTGCATAAGATCGCAGTGCCACCCCAGGGGTCCAGTGTGCTCATAGTGGGCTCCATTTTCACCTCTGGTTAGTTCAGAGTGTCTTTGCAGAGCTGGAATGAATGGCAGGGTGTATACCGAGACTTCTTGAGAGAAAGAAAGCAAATAGTTAACTCTTGCTCTGTGCCACAAGCCATGCTAGACTCTGAGGAGTTACATAAAAACACAGTAGACATTGTCCCAGCCCCTAGTGAGCTGTGTTTCCCGCTTGTCGACAGACTTATCAACAGATATGCATGTACCCAGAGCTGCTCTTTCTCTGCATTTCTGTTTTGTGGAATGGCGCCAAGATTTCTCCCATGTTCAAACAATTTTCAAGTCATTAAAAAAAAAATATTTTAGTTTTTGTTGTTGAGAATATATATAGCAGAACATAACACCAATTTTACAGTTTCCATATGCATAATTTAGGAGTCCTGGTGTGGTGCTTTAGAATAAGCACTTGACCACAAGGTTGTTTTGAAGTGAAAGGTTGGCGGTTCAAACTCCCCAGTCACTCCTCGGAAACCCTATACAGGGTCATTATGGGTCAGAACTCAACAACATGTATAATTCAGTGACATTAATTATGTTCTTTGGATTGTGCATCCATTTTCACTCCCTTTTTCTTTTTTTAAAAATTTCTGTTGTAAATAGAGTGGTAGTTTATATGAGAGAACATTGATTTTACACTCTTCCTATTGTATTTTGTTTCATTGCGATGATTACAATCCCCTCCATGCGTCATCATTCAACAGTATTTGCTTCTATTCTCTGTGGTTTTTTTTTTGGAAGTACACAAAAACATCCATGAATATATAATCATTTAAACAACCAAAGGGCGCAGTCTGCAAGCCTATCTCCTGGCCACCGGCACACAGCCTTTCTCTTTCCATGAATCTAGAGTCCTCAGCTGCTCTATCTCTCCATGCCATCATCTCTGCCTCCATCTCTGGTGTTGCTGCTAATCTGGATCGGGTCACATATTCCACTTGTGCTCTTTTCCCTTGATGGTCCTAGGGTCCTTTGTTCCTAGACTGTAAGATTAACTACTCCCCACTTTTTGTTACAGAACGTCTACCTTTACAGTTGTAATAATTGCAATTAGTCATGATAACAATTACTCACTATTGAATCATAAGAATCTTATCCCCGTCTACTTTCACTAGACTAGTCTAGACAACATGAAAACTATTCAGTGGGGACTCTACCTTCCCCTGCACATTCTGAAACTAAACTCCCTCTTGAGAACTTGTAAGCCAGCCGCTTCATGCCTTTTAGATAGCCAATGTCTAAGTTGTCCATCCCTATTAACCCTGTATACAGAGGGGATAGGATTGATCCTTGATGTGAAGACTCCTTTCCTCTCAGTTGGTATTTTTGAGCTACTGTATCCAGAAGTGTAGGTCAAGTTCATCAAATTGTAGCAATTTACACTCGTTTGCTTTATCAGAAATTTTTTTATCTTCCTCTGTTTGAGTTCTGATCATCAAGCCATTGAGGATAGGTCAAATGGGTACTATCTGCAAGCTTGGGCATTCTTGTGCATCTCCCCTCACTGGATGCTTCACTCTCAGCTCTAGGCCTCTGTGACTCGGTCAGTGTCCATGGGCTCAGGAGTCTCCAGGTTTCAATACACTTTGAACCAACCAGCCCTTCCTATTCCCTCTCTCATCTCCAGGTCGACAGGAGTCTATGGAACGTGGTCAAACTCAGCCCATATCTTCATGATTGCCTTTCTCCCACTTTCACTCACCAGTAGACTAACGTGGTCATCAGCAATCTACCTGCCTGCTCGTTTTTTCCCTTTGAGTTTCGGTCTTGGAGGGTCTACCCCTTTTTTCTGTGTTGTTCTTCCCCTACGAACATAAGCTCACTGCCCCCTAAGTTGGTTGTCTAACCTTTTGAATGTCTTTTGTCAATTTGATCCCTTATAGATAGATCTTACTATGCATTTAATAGCAACAGATAGATCTTAAGGCAGACACTCTTGTTAAGCAAAACCAAGTTTGGTTTTAATAAGATTTCAGGGGATTGTTTTGTTTTAAGATTTAAAGATTATCTCAGGGCTAGAGTTTTGGTGGTTTATTCATCATCCCTGACTCCAGAAATTCTAGATTCTATGAGGGTTTGAAAATCTGTTTTCCATTTTCCCTTTTTGATCAGGATTCTCTTATAGATGCTTTGATCAGAATGCTAAGGAATGCTAGCTGGACACCATCCAGTTCTTATGGTCTCTGTGGCAAAGGAGGCTGGTTGTTCTTGGAGGCACCTAACCACACAATCCATTTCCTCCTCCTGTTCTTGACTCTCCTTCTTTCTCTGTTGCGCAAGTCCTTTTTAATTCTTCCCTCTGCCTGATACCCTCCTGCTATCATTAACCAGATGTGGGAGTTTTACTTATTTATAGTTTAGTTATTCAGTTTTCTTTCTGGTTATCATTTTCCTTGTTTAGTCCTTGACATCTTTCCCTTCAATCCAGTTCCTCTTTTTCCCCACAAATGTAAATAAGAGATCTAGAACTGGGGCAGATCAGGTCTCTTGCCACATGACTGTCTGATGGTGGCAACAGACCCACAAAGAGGTTAGCAGAATATGTTGTGCTAGTGTGGCCATAACGAGTGAACTTGGGAAGCACAGAGCAGGGCAAGTGCCATCCAGCTTCCTGACTCAGGTTGTCTTTGACTTGGTCTTATGGGATGCCCAGTAATCATCCAGGTAGAGGAGTGGTGGTGGAGATTTGGTTTTAGCACACCAGGCAAGGGATATGGTATGTATAAAAGGGCTATGGTGTGTTTGTGGAAGTGAGAAAAAACATAGAATCTGAGATCAGAGAGGTAAGGGCAACAATTGAAAATGCAAAGAAGCAATGATTGGAATGGGAATAAGAGAACCAGGACTAACAGGCATCCTGAAATTCAGGGGAGGAGAAAGTCGGAAGATCGTTTCAAAGAGGAAGCCCCCAGCATCATCTTGTGCTTCAAAGAAATGAGGCAGAATGGAGACTAAAGATAGGCAGGTGGATTAGGTTGAAAGGCCACTGACTCCCGTATGGTATCCCTGATGGTACAATGGTGGTGGTCCATGGGAGAAAGATGTGGAAGTCTAGGAAACCCTGTGGGGTAGTTCTAGTCTGTCTTGTTGGGTCACTCTGAGTCAGAATCGACTTGACAGCAAGGTATTTTCTCCTGTAATAGGAGCAGTTTCCATGAAGTTGGGGCTGGGGAGGGGCCATCTGATGGTAATAGGGGTGGGTTTGCAACCAACTTCTAGCCTCTCTCAGCCTGCTACCAGTAAACATTCAGATAGTGCCGCTCTGAGCTGGGTGCTTCCTGCTTAGGCCTTTTTCACAGTTTCCCAGAACCTTCCGTGACTTTCCCTCAGCTGCTTTCCCTACTACCTGCCTATATCTACCATGTGTTGCAGCCCAGCTGGACCCCACTTTGTTCTTGGGCAACCCTTCTACTTTTCCATGCCTTCCACACATACCTTTGATAGCTTTGCCTGGGTGGTTTGTTTCCTCTTTGTCCTACAGATCCTTCTTAACTTTCCGTTCTTTGTTCTCAAACTCACTATGAAGCTACCTCAGATGCCTTCTTCCAACAGCTGCAGTTTCCTCTTCTGCTAATCCTTCATTCTCTTTGGGAAGACCACTCATTGAAACTTGCCTGTTAATCCGTGGAGAGTCCTATTGCTGGTCTTGACCCTGCGCCCCTCCATATAACGGATGCTTCTCAAAGGTTTGGCTGTGGCTTTTTTAGCTCCTGACCCAATGCCCCCAAACTTTGAACCCTCAGTAGAGTATGAATGTCACTGAACTTCTAGGAAACCCTTACTTCCTGGACTGTCTTTTCAGCTGGGCTGCCCTCTTTGTCTGGTATAACTTTGCCTTTTCCCTGGGTAGCAGAATTCTTGGACAGTGTGGTTATCCTACGAAAATGCTGTACCCCAAATTAAAGGTATTATCCCATTTGGAGCTTAACCAAACTTTCTAGTTAGACCCAAACATTGACAGTTTATATGACTTTTCTTTTTTTTTTTTATAAGCTTTTATTGTGAATTGACTGATAGATTACATGGCAGAACATTGGTTTTGAACTCAACCAGTTGTATTTTGTTTCATTGCAATGATTACAATCCCCTCCATGCACCGATGGTTAATAGTATTTGCCTCTGTTTCCTCATTTTTTTGTTTTAATGTACATAAACACACAGGAATGTATATGTATTTGTTTAAACAACCAAAGGGCACATTATGCAAGCTAGCGTGTATCTGCCAGCACACAGCTTTTCTCTTTCCATTGGTCTACAGTCCTCAGCTGCTCTGTCTCTCCATGCCATCACCTCTACCTCTGTCTCTGGTATGGCTGCTTTTCTGGTTTGGATCCCACGTTCCGCTCATGTTCTTTCTGCCCTCTTGATGGTCTTAGGGTCCTCTGTTCCTGGGATGTAAGATGAACTTCTCCCCCTTTTTTGTTACATATCTTCTACCTGTGCAGGTACTCACTATTGAGTCAAGACTCCTATCCTCTGCCCCTTTCATCAGACCCATCCAGACAAGATGAAAACTATTCATTGGGGACTCTACCCTCCCCCTCTCACTCTGAAACTAAACTCCCTCTTGAAAATTTATAAACCAGCCACTTTGTGCCTATATAGCCCCACCATTTTAGGTAGCCAATGTCTAAGTTGCCTGTCCATATCTACCCTGTGTACTGAGGGGATAGGTTTGATCCTTGATATGAAGACTCCTGCCCTCTCTGTTGGTATTTTGAACAACTACATCCATAAGAGATATAGGAGAATATTGAAAGTGCCATGGGCTGCCAAGAGAACCAACAAATCTGTGTTGGAAGAAGTGTAGCTAGAGTGCTCCTTGGAAGCCAGGATGGCTAAACTTCATCTCTCATACTTTGAACATTGTCAGGAGAGACCAGTTGCTGGAGAAGGGCATCATGTTTGGTAAGGTGGAGGGTCAGAGAAAAAGAGGAAGACCCCAGGGAGATGGATTCAATGGGCTCAAGCTTGGCAACAATTGTGAGGTTGGCCCAGGACCGGGCTGTGTTTCGTTCTGTTGTTCATAGGATCGCTGTGAGTTAGTACCGACTCGATGGCACCAAACAACAACAACATCCATAAGCAGAGGTCAAGTTTATCAAATCGTAGCAGTTTACACTTGCTTCTTGAATCAGACTTCTTTATCTTTTTCTTGTCGAGTTCTGATCAGCAAGCCATAGGAGCTAGGTCAAATGGGTAATATCTGTTTGAGCATTTTTGCGCGTATCCCCTCACTTCCTATCAGCTGGCCGCTGCACTCTCAGCTCTAGTCCCCGTGGCTAAATCTTTGTCCATGAGCTCAGGAGTTCCCAGGTCTCCCCAAATTTCTGACCAACCAACCTTTCCCCTTCTCTTTCTCATGTCAAAGTCAATAGGAGTCTATGGAGCGTGGTCAGGCTCACCCCATGTCTTCATTACTACCTTTCCCCCACTTCCACTTACAAGTAGACCAACGTGGATACCAGCAAGCTTACAAGCTTGCTCTGTGTTCCCTTTTAGTTTCAGTCTTGTCGTGAAGGGCTGATTTTCTTACCTTGAAGCTCTCGGGTGAGCAGCTTGCTTATTCTTGTAATAGCCAGTTTGCTTTTTTTTTTTTTCCCTCCAGTTGGTCTTTTTTTCAAGAAGTATCTTCTGTTCTTCTGTCTGCTCTTGGTTGGTCTACATGTCCTTTCAAGTGGGAATGTCCTACCTCAGAAGGCTCTGGATGGAGTTCAGGATTCCACCTAAGGCTGTATACTCTACAAAGGCTTAGCAAGGAGCCTGTTTCACTGGGCAAATGCTAGAACCCCTTTTAGGTATTCCAGTCAGTTACAGGCTGAAGATGGGCTTCTTCATGACACCTTTTGCTTTCTTTTCTTTTCTCTAGTTAACGAAAGCTTTATGATCTACTAAGTTGTTGAAGGAGTGTGTGTATCAAATAAAATTATTGGGCAGAGCAGTCTATGTAATGTATAAACTTTCTGATTGAATATAACAATGATTTAATCTTCCCCCTTCCCCCTTTTCATCTATCTTTTGTAGAAAGGCCTCTGTACCCTATTTCCTGCCCTTTCCATCTTGGGATTTTTGTTCCTTGTGCCACTTTTTCTTTTGTTCTTGACGGGGCTTGTGAGCATTCATTCATCTGTTTGTGGAACCGCTAGATCCTAGATGTGACCTTGTGTACTTGGCTCAGTGATTTTTTTTGAAAAAATGTTACAATGACAGTTTCTGCTCTTAATAAGATTTGGCCATTTGTGTATTCCGGTTACAGCAACACATAGAACACATTAGTACAGCACCCTTAGGAAAATACCACACGTTGTCTGTCTCCTCCTTCCCCAAGCCTTTTTTTCAAACACACACGTTGTTTGTGTAACAGTGCACATACTTAAACTGCTTTGATGTAATGTTTTCTTGATGAACTTAAAAACACTTTCAGAAAGCACTCAAAAGTAAAAGGCAAACTTTTAATGTTGTTAAGTGTTGTGGAGTCGTTCCAACTCATAGAGACCCTGTATAGGGTTTTCAAGGAGTGGCTGGTGAGCTTGAACTGCAGACCTTACTATTGAAACTGACCTTGCAGTCCAGCACATTAACCCACAGCACCACACCAGGACTCTTTAAAAGATGTAGTGTTCAAATAATATTTTTAAGTATTTTAAAAATAGAATGGCCTTCCTTCAGTTCATAAACAACTTAATATGGTAGTGTCATAGTAATCTGTTTTATGGCCAAAATCCAGAGCCTGACCTTGAAATGTGAGGAAAATTGCCCCTTTGGTGTAGTAACTGTATTTGATTGTGGCATTTGATCTCAAATAATTCTGATTTCCTCTCCTCAGAGGAAGCCTTTAACAAGTTGCCTCAATCCACTGTTCCTGAGATGCAGCGCAGCAACTTGGCTCCTGTCATCCTGCAGCTGAAAGCACTGGGAATCGACAATGTCCTCAGGTTCCACTTCATGTCGGTAAGTCCTATCCTCTTGTCCGGAATTGTGGAGAGCTGGATAGCTCCTGGCTGAGGGGGCACCAGAACATTGTTTACAGAGAGAGGCACTCATTCAACTCATGTGTTGTCTTTGTGCCAGGCCCTGTACAGGCAATGAGTGAAAACAGGCAGACACGGCAGAGTGATTCCTATTGTGACGTCATTGCTGTTCTGGTCTGCAAGGTGCTCCGTACATGATGGCAGGCTGTTGAGAGAGGGCAAAGGCAGGGCCTCCAGCTTGGTTAGTCTTGTCTGAGGTGATTTCATCAGGGTGGGAGAGTTGCAGGGTTCCATGATGGCAGGGGTGTGTAGTACCTAGAGGTAAGTAGATCACAATTGGGGGAACCAAGAGGGATTTGGTAGAGCTGTAAGGAGGATCCTGTGTCTGATTGTGTTTCTGGTTCTTTCCTAAGGCAGAAGTGGAATCTAGGAGTGGAATTCTTGGATCAAAGGATCCTAGCTATTTTTCACTCTACCATCTTGCTTTACAAATGTCAGTCTCAGCGGTGCACAAACTTCCAACGTCTTGTGCCCTGTTGTGCTGTGTTTGCTAATTTGATTGGCCAGAGAGAGAATTATCTTTAATGTATGTGTAAACAATTTATGTAAAACACTCAAATTATTATTTTCTTTTGAATTATCAAGCCACTTACTTATTAGAACTAGTGTTTGTTAGTGGCTCAACAGAGTTCATTGAATATTAAAGACATTCATTTTTGTCTGTGATATTTCTTGCAATATTTTATTTGGTTATTTGCAATTTACTTAAAAAAAATATATATAAATGGTTTAGTTTCATAGTAAAGTTTCTCTTTGTTCCTGTATTTTTGGTTATTCTTGTACCTTTCTGTATAGCCAGGTCAGTTAATAAATATTCACTTATCTTTTCTTGAATTTTTATTATCTGAAGACCCAGTTAAACTCTTGATCTATCCCATCTCTATTGATATATAGTGTCAATAGAGTTGGAAGTTTTGAATGATAAAGTCTGTTGTCATGTGTCAGGAGAAATTAAATCAATGAGAAAATAGAATGTAAAACTATCAACCCGACTCAACCCTAAGAAATGAAAAGAAAAAGGAGGAACAAGAGATAACAATTATGTCTTTATCATATGTATGAAGAAAATGTACTGTTTGTGTGTAGTACAAGAGACGAAAATGAAAAGATGGATAGAATATGTAAATTAAAAGCTTATGAAAGCCCTCCCCCCAATTTAAGATTAAAGGAAAACATGATGGAAAAAATGACAGATTCACATATTTAAAAATAGAGTTTTAAAACATCATTTAGAGTAAGTCAGATATCTAGTAAAGAAAAGGAAACAGCACAAGTAGGCAACTGCCATTAGAACAGGTCAGCTTCTTAAGGAAGGAGACAAGTGCAAATTGAGAATGGTGTTGTTAAGTACTGTCAAGTGGATTCTGACTCATAGCAGCTCTGTATAGGGATTCCCAGGAGCCGCTGATGAGTTTGAACTGCTGACCTTGTGTTTCAAACCGACCTTGAGGTCACATACTTATACTAGGTTGCCACACCATAGCTGTGAAGTTCTGCTTTATACTGATTAAGTGGTCAGACAGGAAGAAAATTGAGAAAATCCAAAGCTGACAGAGTTTGGGAAGTGAAGTTCCCCATGGACTGCTGGTGGCTTTATACTCCAGTCTGTCTGCCTAGAGGACTTCCTGGTGATAGTCAACAAGCCATGCAAATGCTGATGTTTCTCCTTGTGGGAATTTCCTTTGCAGGAAGGCAATAACTGGCATAGAGAATAATGTCTATGACATCTTCTTTTATTAAATTATAAGTGACAAATAATGAAAGTCATACTAGACTTTTGGGCAATTTGAAAACTGAGAAAAGTATACAAGATTTATCTTCACATATTAGGAGGCTTCAAAAAGTTTGTGTAAAAGTGGGTTTAAAAGATAATGGACTTCTTCCATGAAATTTTGAAGCCCCCTTGTATTTCCTTCTGGTTATTATTAAGAAAAAAAATTTTTTTTACATAATTAAAATCATAGGATACATATAGTTTTGTACATTTAGCAATATTATTTATAATAGCAAAGAACTGAAGACAAAATTGCCTAATAATAAAAATGCTACGTAACTTTCTGAAGTAGGGCCTTGAAGACATTGTGTGCAGCTGTCCTGAGTGATGACTGTGAAGTGTCCCTGGTACAGGAAGCAGTAAAAACAGAAAAGCAGACAGTGAGACAATCAAGTGAAATGATACCTGCATAGGAATTCCAACTGTGGTAAATGATGCTGCAAAGGATCCCAAATTAGACGAGGTCATAGAGAAATACTAGTACATGTATGTTTAGGCGAAAATGCTATGGATGTCACCTTTTTCTATTTTTGTAAAATTATTCTTTATTGATGGTTAAAAATAAAAAAAAATTCAAGGAACAGAATTCATAGGACTTGGTGCTACTTAGGACCAGGGGTTGGAAAGGAGTCAAAGATGACCTTAGTAGTTTTGCCTGTAATTGTTTCAAACGAAATTCAATGCTTTGCTATTTCCTGCATCACATCTAGGAGCTCTGGTGGCACTGTAGGATAAGCACTAAACTGCTAATCGCGTGGTTGCAGTTCAAACCTATCAGCCACTCTGTGGGAGAAAGATGAGACTTTTTGCTCTCATAAAGATCTACAGCCTCAGAAACCCTATCTAGGTTCACTGAGAATTGGAATCGACAAGATGGCAGTGAGTTTGGGTGATTTTTTGAGTGTTCCACATGTTCTCAGTGTAAACTATTCCCAGAGGGTTTAAGTGGCTTCATTTAGGTACTGTGTATTATGCCTCTTGGTAAAGAAAGATGTCATAGCCCCTGACCGAAGGCTAGTAAGTCACTTGCAGGAGTTTTCTACAATGATGTGCTTTTTGCAGTGACTCCCCTAGGTGCAGTCTGTACATTCATAAGTGTGTGCTTGTGTGAGTGCAGTCACTGCAGCTTTTTAAAGTCCAGCTTTGTTTCTTGGCAGTCAGGGTTACGTATAGTGGAACAATGATGGAGACCCAAGCTCAGTCTACAGCTTTGCTTCCATCTGCCTGTGCAACCTTGTTCAAATGCCTTTAATTTATTGTCATTCTTTTTTTTCTCAAAACAGTGGAATACTTAAAGTAAATTTGTTAAATGAATGCATTTAGAAAAATTCAGAGAGTTTGAAAAAGTACTGTGATTTGATTGCCAGGTTGGTTCAAAACCAAATAATTTAGAGAGAAAATAATAAAGAGCCTGGTACTTTTGTAGGTACTTAGTGAAAGGCAAGGGGGAGGATTAGAGACTCAGACTGACAGTCAGAGTATCAGTGCCACTTGACTTCCAGTTGTCTGGTGGCATTCTTTATTCTTTCCAGAAGATCACATTGAGTATATGTGAAGTGCCACTATGGGCAAGATGTGGGCTGCACTCTGATTGACGCAGAGATCATCACCATGTGTGTTGCAGGGTTGTGGGACCCTCAGGGAAGTGGAAGGTTAGGGGATGAAGTAAAAATCAGAAATATCCGAGGAGACTAAAGAGAAAATGAGAAGTAGGGGCCATTACTTGGGATAGAAGATGGGGTGAGGGAGGACTTCACAGCTGGAACAGCCATGTAGCATTAAGGATTCTGAGAAGCGGGGGAAGGACATGTTGTAGGGTGCTGACAGCATGAGCAGAAGCGTGCAGGCTGGAGAATGTGGGCCATGCTGGAGGGAAGAGTGGACTTGAGCAGGAAATGACCCATGTGTTCAGGTTGTTTGTCCAGAGAAATTGATATAGGAGGATTCTTATTCTTTTATGCAGCCCCCACCAGCACAGTCGATGGTTCAAGCTTTGGAGTTACTCTATGCTCTGGGCGGTAAGTCTGATTCTCTCTTTTTTTTTTTTTTTAAATTTTAACAGTTTATTCAATTTAATGTGAATTCATAATTCATAATTTTTTATGACTAAAAACAGGTATAGTGTGTCCACGGATTTTTCTTTGTTTACCATGTTCACAGCCTTGTCCATAATATCCTGGGGGACATTCACAACTTCCAGAAAACCTGTTGCAAATTCCATTGTTCTGACATGTACAATTTAAATGACAACTTGGGCCACAGTAACCAGGAGCACATTCTATAAAAAGAAAGCAGAGAGCATTAATTCTAGTCAAAAGATACCTGATTTTATAATGAATTCAAAGACAGAAAAAAAGGGCTAGAATTAATTTTAAAAAAGGAAAAAGGAAGTCAGACAAACCATTAACTAAAATCAAAAAGCACAAAATTAAAATAAAGAATCAACAAAACACAAATATAAGACATTTCAAATATGTTTGAAAGCCCCACAAAATGAAAAATATTATAGAAAATCATAATTTACTAATCCAACCCCCCCAAATTTTACCAGAAAACATCAATAGACCAATTATAAAAGAAAGAAAAATACAGTAAAAGAGTCCCTGCATTAAAACGCAGAACAAAACAGTATGAGGTCCAGGTGTCACAGAAGAATTCCATCAACTTTTTTTTTCTTCTTTTTTCTTTCTTAAATGATTTATTGTGAATTATGTGATAGTTTACATGGGAGAACATTAGTTTTACATTCATTCTATTGTATATCGTCTCACTGCCATGGTTACAATCCCCTCCATGCAATCCTTCCCTCGTGCCCCCAGGTCTTCAGCACACAGTCGCTCTCTCCCTCTCTGGATCTAAAATCTCCAGCTGCTCCATCGCTCCACATCATCATCTCTGGCTCCATTTCAGGCATCACTGCTTCTCTGGGTAGGTTCCCGCTCTCTGCTCTTCTCCCTTGATGGTCCTAGGGACCTCCGAAGTCTGATTCTCTTATCAGGAGTCTCCTGTATACTGTTAGTTAGGATCTGTGAATGGGGTAGAGTCTTCTCATATAGTCTCGAATGATCGTCGTAATAACACCATTAGTAAGGTTTTATTGGGGGACTTGTCTTTCATTTGGTGGTGGGGTTGAGAGTTAGGAGATCTGAGTGTAAGGTCCAGACTCACTGTAATGTAAAATGGAAATAATAACCACCTTTCACTGTTGTTTAAGAATTACATTGTTGTTGTTACGTGCCATCAAGTCAGTTCAGACCCTGTGCACAGAACGAAACATTGCTGGGTCCTGGGCCATCCTCACAGTCATTGTTAGCTTGGGCCCATTGCTGCTGCCAATTCTTCTCATTGGGTACGGAGGGAGGGGCATCTTCCTCTTTTTTGATGATGCTCCACTTTACCTAGCATGATGTCTTTCTCCAGGGATTGGTCTCTCCTGCTAATATGTCCAAAGTATGAGAGACAAAGTTTGGCCTTCTTGACTTCTAAGGAGCATTCTGGTTGTATTTCTTCCAACACAGATCTGTTCATTCTTCTGTCAGCCCATGGCACTTTCAGTATTCTTCTCCAACACCATAACTCATATGCGTCAATTCTTCTATGGTCTTCCTTTTATTCACTGTCCAGCTTTCACATGCTTTTGAGGCTACTGAAAATACCATGGCTTGAATCAGTTGCATCCTTAGTCCTCAAACTGACACCTTTGCTCTTGTACGCGTTAAAGAAATCTTTTGTAGCAGATTTGCTGCTTCTGTAAGTATTGATTGTGAATCCAAACAAAATGAAGTCTTTGATAACTTCAGTCTTTTCTCCATTAATCATGATGGTATTTATTTGTAGCTAATGCATGTAAAGTATTTTTGTACACTGGAAAGATGCATAAAAATTGTTAATGTTAGTTAACCAAATTTTATTCCCTACATATCTTCTGGTATTTTGATTTTCCATAGGAAGTATTGAAATATTTAAGAACTGACTCTCTGCTTCAGTGACCAGAGTTGATCATTTTGTTCAAGGGCTGGGTTATTCTTTCTTAGCTGTTGTGATCCTTGCCTACAGAAAGGGAGCTTGTACCACAGTCCCTTCCCCCCTGCTCACAGTTACTTTCTGCAGGGAGAGGTACTTTGGGAACTAGTGGAATGTTTTTTGTTTGTATGTTTATTATGTAACACACTCTTGGGGTCAAAAAAACAAACCAAAAAATCTACAGGTTCATATATTATCTCCTTGTACTTTTCCTTTGGGAGGATTGTGCAAGACTGGAGAGTGTCCTTTTTTTGTACATAGGGAACTGACTCAGCTGCACCTAACAACAACAACAGCAGCAGCAACAATGACATACTTTTCCTAACTTTCAGAACTCTGATCACTAGATGTTGTTGAAGTCAACCTCTGGATAGATAGAAACAACCTTTTGAATATTTAAATCAAATGTGAACACCTATTGTATCAAATTTTGTTTCATAGGCACAAGAATGTAGATTTAAGTGTTTTTATGTTATCTAGAATGGATTCCACGTGTGGTACTGTGGATCAGCACTGGACTGTGAGCCACAAGGTCAGTGGTTCAAGCCATCAGTTCCTCCTCAGAAACCCTGTATAGGGTCGCTGCGAGTCAGAATCAACTCAACGATTCCTAACAATAGTAGAATACTGGTTTGACTCTTATGTGGCATGTTTTTCTTTTTTCCTTCTTAACATTTTATTAAGAAACCCTTCAGACATATAGAAAAGATAAAGTAATTTTTGCAATCGTGGCATACTCTTGTAAGTCTACTTCTGCCATTAACAGTTCACTGTACTACTTTGTCATAAATCTTTTGTTTTAAAATCACTTTTTTGTTACCACACAAATATAGGAAAACCCCTCATTGTTAGAGGTTTGTCTTAGAGCTAGGGATAATTTCAACTGCTTTCCAGTAGGAAAGCTTTAATTATGAAGGAAACACTTGATTTACTCATGTTTGCATTTTGAGTTGTAAAATTCTTTATTGTTGCAGTCTAAAAGTATCTATGAGGGTGGTATACTTTTCCACATTTTTTTCTTACCTAGTTTTGCTTCATGGTTTTTAAATTTAAAAAATTTTAAACTAACACCAGGTTTGCCTAATTTTTTTTTTCACATGTTCATCAGTACATCTGACAAATCATAAAGTTTCCTTCCAAGAATGAACACCAACTGTGATGGGTCGTGCCCAGCACTGACTCAGCTCCTTCCTTGTCTCCCACCTGGCAGCGCATTTCATTCTATGATCCTGTTTAACTTATCTTCATTCTCCAGATCCTAGCATGTAGTCTTTGAGGACAGAGATTCCTACCCTGTTCCTCTAGAGTGAGGCCTGTGAGCTCCAGAGAAGCTCAGGGAGTTTCCGAGACTACCCAGGGAGCCTGTAGTGGCCTGCGTCAGGCTTGTGAATCCTGATTTCTATTCCACTTCCTTGCTGTTGCTCCATGTGGGATTGAGGGCCCAGTAGTCAGGAGAACACCTTTTTATGAATCAAGCCATGCCATAAATGCCTGGGAAGAAATAGCTTGGCTGCCTCATTAAGTGCCATTGAGTCGTTTCTGACTCATAGCGACCCTGTGAGTTTGAATCACTGATTTATGGTCCATTACTTGTCCTACAGTACCACACTAGGACTCCAGAGTCTTATGTTTAGGGGTGGCAAGACCTCATACTTGTGCCCCAAACTCATCCCTGGAGCCTGTGATTTTGAAAACATCACACAGACTAATTATACATACCATGGAGAACTCAGCTATAGTTATGCTCCTTCTCTGTGAAGGAATGGCCAGTTACTGAGGTGAAAGACCTTCGGTGGGACTGACTCCTGGTCCACATTGCTGCATTGGAGCTTTTCATTTGAACTGATTGCCCTCCATCACAGGGGCTGAAATGTAAAATGCTGTCTATTTCTCCCCTGAGATTAAGTTAGTAAAAGCCCAACTTGATCTAGTCTCAAGCAGGATTGCCACCCCTAAACATAAGACTCTGGAGTCCTCGTGTGGTACTGTAGGACAAGTAATGGACCATAAATCAGTGATTCAAACTCACAGGGTCGCTATGAGTCAGAAACGACTCAATGGCACTTAACAACAAAGATATAACTCTGTGAGAGCAAAAGAGAAATGGTCTTTTCTGTCTTGCTCTGAGCTTTGCAACATTTGTTTAAATCAGTGAAACAGAAAGCTACATCCTGAGTGTCTTGGGAATTTAATACCTGTGCACTGGCAGGTGGAGAAGTGGCAGGGAGGGAAGGTAGAGACCTGTAAATTGGCTGTGCAGGCCTGGTGTTGGCACTGAATACTGGTCTGGGATGGCACTTAGATTCAGAGTTGCCGACCTCATAGTTGTTCCGTCACGTGAGAAGCGCAGAGAGCAGGGGCGCCAGCCTAGGGCATCTGTTGCATGTCAGGGGTTGGGAGTGAAGGATCATCTAGGTGGGAGGAGCAAGAAGGCAGCAGGAAAGCAGGAGAGTGTGTGGGGGCAGGGAGGATGGGAGAGGCCTTGGTCTGTAGTCAGTTACTTCTTGGAGACCCTAATATTTGTCACTATCTAGTTGTTGGTCCCATGGGTAAAAAAAAAAAAAAAAAAGGCAGTTTCTGTGGAGTAGTGGGACAGAGATGAGTCAGCTGGGAGAAAGGGACTAAGAGGAGGCTGTAGGCCCATCTCCTCAGATATCCTTGTGTAGAAGTTACTACACGTTATCAGTTGTTTAAAATGGCATATTGAAGAGCTCATGTAGACCCTTTCCTTGTTTCCTGTAATGGTGAATCAGTATTAAATTGCATTGGAGAGTGCATGAGCCATGTTTCAAATACTGTATTTAGCATGTATCATCCTCTCCTGTCTCGACAATTGTACATCGTCTTGCAGCACAGTGACACATGCCTCTGATTCTTAGTTTGGTTCATGTGCAGGTTTGGACAAAGACTGTCGGCTAACTGAACCGCTTGGTATGAGGATAGCGGAGTTTCCTTTGAACCCCATGTTTGCAAAGATGCTGCTTGAATCAGGTGGGTGGAGACCGACAGCTCTCACTGATTTTATTTTCATTGTCAGACGTGTTTCCCTGAATTCCCACACCCAGAGGAGTGGGCAGAATATGCTCAGAGGATAGAAGAGCTTTCTTGTGCAACTGTCTGCATTGGGGAGTGTTGTTGACTTGTGATTCAATGTCAGGTGCTCCACTCAGCAAACACTTCCGTTCGATTGCTTCTTATGGGCGTATCTCTAATATCTGCAGATTTTTGTGAGGACTTGAATCAAGACATAGACATATAACCTAGAGATCTTATATTTAGAAGTCTCAGTTTCCTACCGAGGGTAGCTTATTTGTTTATTTTATTAACTCCCTTGGGAAAGCTAATACTAATTCTTTGGCCTAACTTTGACATCTGTGGGCAACCAGTGAAAGATATATTTCAGACTAAGCACAGTAAAAGACCCTTTGTGTTACATGGGGAAACAAGAGTCTAAGTGTGAGGGTGGAGGAGTATTTTATTTGTGAGATGGGAAGCCGGGGGGCAGCAGCTCAGGTTGTATGATCTGTTCCAACGATGTCGCTGCAGACTTGTTCCCTGGTGCTGGCCGCAAGCAGCCCAGAGTTCTCCCCGGGTCTAATTAGGTGTGCTTCCCAGGCTTTCCCAGGTGAGTTGAGCCCTGCTGAAAGGGAGGCCACTGATAAAGGATCTGGGAGCAGGAAAGTAGCATGAGGAAGATAGTCTCTAGTTCCTGCCCCTTCCCCCATATTGCCAGGACTTAAAATCACATGAGAGAGTAGGAATGGCTGTGTGCTGGAGTCAGTCTGGTCTTACCTTGGCTGATAGCTGGAGCCTCTCCATGTTACAGCTCTAGAGGAGAGAGGCAGCTCTCTAGGTACCCATCTGTGTGAACCACAGGTAGAGCAGTCTATGTGGCAGGTGGAAGTTCTTATTTATTAGCCACTTAAACAGAAGAAAACTGCGCAGAAGCATACACTCTGTGTAAAGTATGGTGGAAGGAAAATTTTGGAAAAAGTCTTTGGCTCCTCATTGACTCATCGAAGTAAAGCATGACCTTTGTTTTATAGGAAATTTTGGCTGTTCTCAGGAAATCCTAAGCATTGCGGCCATGATGCAAATCCAGAATATCTTTGTGATCCCCCCAAACCAGAAGTCTCAGGCAGTAAGTCCAACCCTCTCCCTAAGCTGTCTGTTCATTCTCTTTCCCTGTGGGCTTTCCACTAAAACTGTCCCTGGGAGCTGCTGGAGAGAATTTGGCTCAAATGGGACCAGCTCACATTTTGAGTGTTTCCTGTGAACCTAGGGATCCTTGGGTGGCGCACATTTTGAAGGAGTTTGATTGCTGGCAATAGGTTGGCTGTTTGAACCTATCTAGAGGCACGTTGGAAGACAGTCCTAGCAATTTGCTTCCTAAAAGTCACAGCCTCAAAAACCCTGTGGAGCACAGCTCTACATGTGCGTGAGTCAGAATCAACTTGAAAGCAAATTAATAACAATTCTATACCTGTCGTTGTGCCAAGCATTTTATGCATTTCCTCTCATTGTATCTTCAACTCTAGTCCTGGAAAGTAGATACTGTCATGATAACTTTTAAAGATGGAGGCACAGAAAGGTTAGATAATTCTCCTATGGTTGCACAGCCAGAAGTGACAGAGGTGGCTTTCACAGTCAGAGCCGCAATCATATCCACTGCATGACTGACTTCTGGTTTCCCAGGAGGGAAATGGTTGCTTAGGGTTCCCTTGGTGGGCTCATTAGTGGCACAAGTTGCTGCCTGGGCACAGCAGATCGGTTCTGGACACCAAACTGCATCGTGGTGGGGCTGGAGCTGGGCCAAACCCAGGCTGCAGCAGTGACAGAAACAAATGAATGCAAGAAGGCTGAAGATGAAACTCTGGTACAAGAGTAGCCTGCAGGGCGGTGCGGGTGAGTGGGGGCTCCGGGATGGGGGCGGGGGGGGAACTCGCGAGTTAAACCTCCCAGGTAGGAATTCACAGCCTCACGGCCTTTGTAAATCTTAGTGCGCCAGAGCCTTAGACCCGCTTCTTTGAGAAATCACTGTGCAAGGAATTACAGGCTTTTTAAAAGGGCGCCGCGGCATCCC